CAACCACTAGATGGCAGCACGAGATTGCGACACTTCCGGGCACGTTATCTCAGTTCGAATTTACATCCGTTAGACCTGACACTCGATCCATTTACGTCCCAGACGCTCCTGAGGGTTATTGTGCCGCCCACCGCTCTACCATCCTTAGGTTGGCCGAGAAACGCACCGTTGCCCTACCAAGAAAACATCAATCTCCCCTCCTCTTTGAACTGGTGGACCACATCATCATTGTTTCCAACTTCCCCCCGCCTTGTGACGCAGCTATTCGACGTCGCTTCATCGTTATAGACACTGGGAAAGGTAAGGAAAAGATTTCTATAGAAAAACACGCTTCGCTTAGATTCTTTCTCTAGAACTCTTTTTCTTACAGTTTACGGATGGCTTTCACCGCCCACAACCGCTACAGAAGATGGACAAGAAGGACAGGTTACCGACCCCGCCGCCTCCTCATCAAACGGGTCATCAACAGAAGAAAAATGCGGTTCCGAAAAATCAAACGTCGACGAAGAGCCCTCTATCGCCGATTAAAGAAGAACCAGGAATACCACCTTGTCCTCTTCAAAAAAGTCTACAACATCTCATTAGAAGGTGTACGAAATTCCAAAGATGCCGCGATGAGGCACGACTTACGATTAAACCACCTTGGCCCCCATGACGACCCAAAATGGAGCAACGTTGTAGACAGATACAAATTCGGCAAACCAATCAAAATGCTTCGAAAATATAAGGTCACCTCCCAGATCCAATCACAACTCGTTCAACAAGGAACGGAAGGAAAGTGGGAGATAATAAAAGAAGGTATGTGGAAAGCCATTGTACCACATACTACTCCAGTCGTAAAGATCTACAATGATGCCTGTGACAAACATCAGAAGCTCTCCTACGGAGACCTACAAGAATTACCCCAAGTCAAGCACCTCAAAGAAAATAAACCCGCAAGATTCTGGCACAAGTTCCGAATACCCTACGTCGATATCCGAAAATTCGCTGGTCAAAGTAACACAGGATGGAACGACTGGATCAACCAAAAAATCGACATCAACGAGGCCAAAGACGCCCAGACCTTTACGGATCCCAGTAGAAGATTTGGAAGCATTTATTTCGCACAGCTCGAGACCAAATTCAATTTGGGTGACAAGATATGCTATACCAACACCGTTACCAACATCGAAGTCACCTATTACTCCTGGTGGATTTTTAAAGGGCTCCTCGACCTGTAACTGTACCCTGTATATTACAATAATCTCTGTAATTAATTTAATTTTTGTAATATATTTGGTTATAATAAATCTCCTTTAATGGAGAAATGTTTATGCAACAAAACAAAACCTTATCTTCGCTTATTTTTTATCGCGACTTACTTACCACTTCCTACTTCCGTCAAACAAAACAGGACGTGACATGTAGATAAATGTCACGTGATATCCTGCTCAGGATGCTTCGCGGATATTTTGCCGGGGGCGTGGCCTTGCCAGAGGTAACTGACGTAACGCTCTCTCATTGGCTGAACGCAATCCCATAGGGGATTGCGGACGCGCTAGGTAAATTTAGACGCGCGTCCGGCCGCTAACGCGGACTAGTAGCCTATCTATCTAGACGTATTTTAACCTGCTCAATGCCTAAGTTAGCATCAGTTTTCGCGATTACCTTGCCGCATAATGTCACAGGAAAGGACTACATCTTTCACATCTTACTCGGGCTTGTTCCCGAGGAGATCGTTGTGGCGGAGGAACTACACACAGGCGAGACTTCGACCCATATTCACGCCTACCTCAAGACTCGGGCGGAGGACCAGTTCACTTACGAGGACCTACGTGACATACTCTCCGCTTTCCTCAACGAGGACCAGCCAGGTGCTGCCATCAATATCCAGGGATGCAAGAGCACTAAGACTTGGATTAAATATATCACAAAGGAGGATTGGGATCCACGATCTCACAATGTATCTGCTAACAGATATCATTTCAACGCGAGAGCTAGACAATGGGCTCGCAAGACCAGGGTCTTTAGCTTTGATGATCCTTTCGTGTGTGAACATCGTTTCACATATAAATTCTTGCAAGTAAGTAATTTCCCATTGAAATTAATATATACACCCATAAGCATCTAATGATTAAGCTAACCTAACTTATCTAATCATTTATCTAGTCTCTGCAGGAGGAGGTACATCGAAAACAACATGAGGTGGCCGCCCCCCAGGTCGTACCCAACATGGACGTACTTTGGGTCAATGAACTTCTGCGAGAACTTCGATCAAAGTCCAATGTCTACCTGTTTGGCTACACTGGAACTGGCAAGACTACCGTTGTTGAACATTTTTTTTCAGAATCAACCACTAGATGGCAGCACGAGATTGCGACACTTCCGGGCACGTTATCTCAGTTCGAATTTACATCCGTTAGACCTGACACTCGATCCATTTAC